CCTCTAACAACAAATATCATCTTCAATCACCGTAGTCATCACAACCATTAATCTCCACAATTCACCACTACCAAAAAAAATAATCTAAAATTAATTTAACTTGTAACAAAATCGATTCAAAACTCTAAACGATTCAAATCAACATTCACTCCTAAAAATTAATTCAAACTCATATACAAATGATAACGGCATCCTTAAACGGAAGTTGTTACTAGTGACACACAACTCAAGAATAAAAAGGTGAGAAAGGGATGTAGGGTAGGGGTAATTTTCGCAAAATAGCAGTAAGGGGAGTGGAGTAGGGAAAGGTGTGAGACATGATAGGAGGGAGGTCGATGGTAGTAAAGTGAGAGAGTCGAGGGATTTTCATTGAAGAGAAGAGTGAGAATACTCTATGCTTGCACTGTTTTTTTTAAACGAATACGTAAAATTGTATTTTCTTTCTTTGGAATATTTGTAACGCCCTGTTTTCGGTCATTTCTTATTTCAGGGTCGTGGGTCGAAGGTCGATTGTGTAAAGGCTAATTTAATCCTTGTAGAATGAGGTGATGATGGTTAAGAGATTTAACCCTTTGAATTGTGTTTTGGGTCGAATGGTGGAAAGGGAAAAGTCATAGATCGGGTTCTTGCATTAAATATGGATTTTTGTACGAGAAATTTTTGAGTCCAAGATATTTAGATAATATTGTAGGGCTCTTCAATACCTTTTTTTGGATATAAATATCGTCAAAAACGAAGTTGGAATGAAGAAGTTATGATCGTTAGAAGTTAGAAAGGTTTTGGGTTTAGTCTAGTAGGACGTATAGAATGTACGTTGGGCATACTTGTAACACTCCAAATCATGTACACCTTTGAAACCCTTGAAAATGAATTAATTGGCAAAAATGGTCCTCTCATACGCTGGGCGTACCTAAGGGTATGCTTCACGTACTATGGAAGAAGGATCGCGAAGGAGCCTTACATACGCAGGGCGTACGCAACTGAGGGCCAAAACCCTAAATCTCGGACTTGACCCCTATTTAAACACCTTTTAGCCTCTTAGACCAAACCTTATCAGTCTCTTTAGCCTTATTTTGTCCACCTACAACTGAGATATTGTGTGTGAGGGTTTTTTTAGCTTAATGAGTGAGTTTTATGGCTATTTTAGAGATTATTCAAGAAGGAGAAGTTGTCAATGAAGCTTGGAGTGTCTTTTGGCTTCAAGAATCTGCATATAGTCAACCTTGAGGAGCTTCTAGAGGTATAAAGCTTGGACCTTTCCATCTTAATCACTAGATCTAGCTAGAGTTTTCTAGTTTTGTCCCTTTAGTTGATTTTGGACCTCCTCTTGTGAGTTAAGCAACTCCAGAGGATGGAAATGACAGATCTGAGGTCCCTTGATCTTTTATCAACATAAAAATACAGTCTTGTGTGAGTGTTTTGACCTCATGCATGGGTTAAGAACCCTAGAAATGTCTTAATGAGGGTGTTAGGAGCATTTGAAGCATGCAAAGGCATAAAGTTGCCAACTTTATGCCCTAGGTCGTCTTAATAAGCTTAGATCTGACTTTTGGATGTAAAGAATCGGATATTAAGCACTTTATATTACTATTTAATTTTTAAATTATAATATATGTTATAGGTACAATATGATTATTATTTTATACATTGTTTATATATATATATATATATATATATATATATATATATATATATATATATATATATATATATACATATAACGAGATGAGACTAATTCGTGAATAGTTAGTTGATGAACTCCAAAAGTATAACATATATTTCTGAACAGAAAAAATCAACAGGAAACTATATGAATATATGTTTTTAGTTGTTAAATTGAAAAGTAATCAAAAAATCAGATCGGAATTATTATATATATTAAGCAAAAAATTTACATAATATTATATCAAATAATAATGGAAAGTTTATTTGAAGATAATATGAACAAGAAAACAAAAAGGTTTTGTAAGATCTGTTTTAGATTGTCTTATCATGATTCAAGGAATTGTCCTTATGGAAAAGGTATTAGTTGTGGAAATTCAAAGGAAAAGAGGTTATGTAAGTTTTGCAAAAGTTATGGTTTTCATGATCAAAGGAATTGTCCTTATCATAAATGATTAATATTTTTGAAATTGTTTATGATTCAGTTTTTTTTTATCGTAATAAAATTTTTGATCGTTGTAAAAGATTATGCATCCTATGTAATAAATGAAGGTTTTTTGTTTAATTTTGATTATATGAACATGTAATTTTATCCTCTTATCTTTTACATGATTTTATTGAAATGGGGTTGTTCGTTTAAATGGGTAAAAGAAGTTCATTATTTAAGTTATTTTGACTATTTGTTTTCGTTAGAATAAGGCTGTTCGGTCATATTTATTATATTGTTTATCTGACATGAGATGGTGTAGTTTAATAATTTATTGTTGTAAAGAATACAGGGGTAATTTTGTCATGCTGATTTTTATTTATAACATAAAAGTATGATGCAAGTTCAAAATGACGAATTTGTAATTTTTTTCATGTATTCTATTAAATTTATAGCAAATTGAGTAAAATTACGGTTCTGCCCTTTTTCAAAATTATTTTACTTTTTGTTTCCATTTTGATATAAAGGGCAATTTGGTCCATTTTGATCCTGATGCAAGTGAATTGTTTTCTTTCTTTACAAAAAAAGTGCATTACATTTTGTATTAGAAAAAAATGGAAAAAAGAACAACTTTGTATAGAAAATATAATGTAGGGGAGACATGGACAAGAATTTATGTTATAAGAGTTTTACAACATAATAGTATGATGCAAGTTCAAAATGATGAATTTGTAATTTTTTTTCATGTATTCTATTAATTTATAGCAAATTGATTAAATTACGGTTCTACCCTTTTTCAAAATTATGCTATTAATTTTTTTGTTTCCATTTTGACATAAAGGTCAATTTGGTCCATTTTGGCCCTGATGCATAGAAATTGTTTTCATTCAAAACTTATTCCAACGATTGAAATGGTGTATTACACTTGGTTAAAATACAATTAATCAAACACTTAATATATCAATCTAAATTAATGATTTCTTCCTAGTTCAAAAGTACATTGTTTATTTTGCATTTTCACATAAACCTCAATCTTGTTTATTTTGACATAAAGGACAATTTTGTCCATTTTGACCCTGATGCAGGTGAATTGTTTTCATTCTTTACAAAAAAATGTGCATTACACTTGATATAGAAAAAAATGGAAAAAAAAAACCAACTATGTCAAAATGGACCAAATTGCCCTTTATATCATGTTTTCTATTAAATCTATATCAAATCGGCAATGACGCCCTTTTAGAAAAGTAAAATGGATCAACATAAAAAATATTATTGGATGCAAGTTATACAACTTTGAAGTTAGAAAGAAATAAAAACTAAACATCTTTGAATAACATTTCTTTTTTGGCATTTTGACATAAAAGACAATTTGGTCCATTTTTACATAAATGGCAATTTGGTCCATTTTGACCCTGATGCATAGAAACTGGTTTCATTCGAAACTTATTTCAACGATTGAAATGGTGTATTACACTTGGTTAAAATACAATTAATCAAATTCTTAATATATCAATCAAAATTGATGATTTCTTCCTGGTTCAAAAGTACATTGTCTATTTTGCATTTTCACATAAACATCAATTTTGTCCATTTTGACTCTAATGCAGGTGAATTGTTTTCATTCTTTACAAAAAAGGTTCATTACACTTGCTATTAGAAAAAAATGGAAAAAAAAACAACTGTGTCAAAATGGATCAAATTGCCCTTTATATCATGTTTTTTATTAAATTTATATCAAATCGACAATGACGCCCTTTTAGAAAAGTAAAATGGATCAACATAAAAAATATTATTATATGCAAGTTATACAATTTTGAAGTTAGAAAGAAACAAAAATTAAACATCTTTGAATAACATTTCTTTTTTTGGCATTTTGACATAAAGGACAATTTGATCCATTTCAACATTAATGGCAATTTGGTCCATTTTAACCCTGATGCATAGAAATTGTTTTCATTCAAAACTTATTCCAACGATTGAAAAGGTGTATTACACTTGGATAAAATACAATTAATCAAACACTTAATATATCAATCAAAATTGATGTTTTGCATTTTCACATAAACGTCAATTTTATCCATTTTGACATAAAGGACTTGTCCATTTTGACCCTAATGCAGGTGAATTGTTTTCATTCTTTACAAAAAAGGTTCATTACACTTGCTATTAGAAAAAAATGGAAAAAAAAATAACTGTGTCAAAATGGATCAAATTGCCCTTTATGTCATGTTTTCTATTAAATTTATATCAAATCGACAATGACGCCCTTTTAGAAAAGTAAAATGGATCAACATAAAAAATATTATTATATGCAAGTTATATAATTTTGAAGTTAGAAAGAAACAAAAATTAAACATCTTTGAATAACATTTCTTTTTTGGCATTTTGACATAAAGGACAATTTGATCCATTTCAACATTAATGGCAATTTGGTCCATTTTAACCCTGATGCATAGAAATTGTTTTCATTCAAAACTTATTCCAACGATTGAAATGGTGTATTACACTTGGATAAAATACAATTAATCAAACACTTAATATATCAATCAAAATTGATGTTTTGCATTTTCACATAAACGTCAATTTTATCCATTTTGACATAAAGGACTTGTCCATTTTGACCCTAATGTAGGTGAATTGTTTTCATTCTTTACAAAAAATTGCATTACATTTAGTTAAATTTTAATTATTCAAACACTTACTATATCAAACAAAATAATACTTAATTTTCTCTAATGATATATAAAATAAACATATGATACATGGTTTGTTTATAAACATCTTCGAAAGTAGAAAACATAAACAAATTACATAAAGTTCTACCATTCACAAAACATAACACATCAATTTCCTGCAAAAAACTACCATCTAGATTCAAAAACCCAAAAACCAACATTTTCCCCTTTTTGCTTCATCGATCTTCTTGTTTCCTATAGTTCTTGAAAAGCTTCACTTGGTGCTTTGTGTACTCTAAAGCTTCATGGATTTTGTGCACATCGATCCATATCTTGAAGCTGCCAAATATCTTGATTCTAGCTTCCCAAACATTCATATTTGGATTTGAAACAACCAAGTTGTACAGAAGAGTACACAGATAATTGTTGGTTGCCATGTTCAAAGTATGTGGGAAATGGATAGAAACAGTTTTAACAAAAGGTTCAACATAAATCTCTTGAACACAAAACAACCCATCCTTTTTCACTTTTTCAACAAAATCAGAAATATCAAGAACATATTGAAGTTTGTTTAACCCAACATCTAAAAGAGCATAAGTAACCAACGAGTAGCAGAATGTGTTATGGAATTCATAACCTAAAGAGGAGATTATTATCTAAAAAATCTGAATAGATAAATTATTTATGTTGCAAAAATCAACATAATCAATAATTCCTCCATCGTAAGATCTATCTGGATTGTAAAAAAAATGTCCTCCATGATAAATTTTCATTGAGAAGTAACATTTGTTTTCAGTTCCTGACTAAATAAAAATAAAAATCAGATAAACATAAATATCATATGATATAAAGAAAAAGAATCATACCATAGAGCTCATCTGGAAGGATATATTGTGATGAATCATGTACAATCCAGTTAACACCATCAAAAGCCATCGAATGCAAATCTTATTAGTCTTTAGTTTTTTGATAACGGAAGAAGATGTGGAGGTGTTGCATATATAAGAAATAATTGTAGTCAAAAGAAATAATTGTAGTTTTTAAATATTGTTTTGGGTTGTCACATTTATTGTTTCTGATAATGGCGGTTATAGAGTCCTAGATAATCATATCATGTATATAATCAATAATAAAATCCTTATCCTTTATATTAGTTTGTTAAGTATTTGGTGGAATATATTTTGTTGTAAGTATAAACAGTAATAAATATATATTAGAATCGTTCAAATGGTGGTTATAGAGTCCTGCTAGGTGCCTCAATGTCAATTTCATTTGGAATGTGGAGACCAACAACATTTTCAACAATTTCTTTTGTTGGATTTGTATTTGGTTTAGTCACAACATTATTTTCACACTCAATGCTTAATGTCTTCAAACTTTGTATCAGTTCTTGTAATTTCCCAAGATCATGAGCAACCGAATCGACACATTTCTCATAATATGATGATGCCTCATGCAAAAGATTTGAAGTTTCAGTGTTGCCCTCTCCCCATCTATGCAATAGCTTTTGATAAGAAACATCCACAATGTTTTTTCTCCATCGATCAAGAATGTATATTTCCGGTATTTTGAAAATATCGTTGTCTAAGAGAACTCTAAAACAATGACAATAAAGAATTCCATAAAACTGGAAATGCTTACATGAATAGTGTATAGTCATATCTCCTTCATTAAAAACCACCTGCAATATTATTATTTTTTTTTTATCTAATTACATTTATAATAAATTTTAAAAAAAATAGAAATAGAAAATAAATATAATGTTAAATAATTTTAAACCTTGAAATGGGGTCTTTCTCCAGTTTTGTGGTTCTTGTAAACTATTGTGCATTCTTGAGTTTCATTCACAATTAAGGATGTCTTTTGGAAACACAAAGTGAATGCTTTTTTGATCTCCTTTTGTACATTAATGAATGCCTCCCTAGTATAAATAGTGATTGCATGTTTTTCAATCTTCAACGGATAATTAGCAGAAATCATATGAGGAGTACCATCTCTTCAAGCTATATCCAATCTTCTTTGTTCATGACGTTGCTTTGCAATAGCAGTGTCAAAGTTAAACATAAAAATTCACAAGTAAATTTGATGGGCTAGAGAAAAAATTGAAGAGAGAATTTGAACTTTCAGATCGTGATGTAGTCTTCATAAGACCACACATAGGAATATCTCTAAAGTAAGAAGGAATCCATTTGTCTCTCTTATTATACATGTCATCCAACCATTTATTTTCTCTCAATTGGAATTTGTCCAACATTAAGTTCCACCTACTCTCAAATTCTGCTGGTTCAAGATGTATATTCCAAACAATTTTATGTTATTGTTTCTTGAAATCTGTATTTTCAACTACATTTGAACAAATCTGCAATTCCAATTATTAAGTTGTTAGTATACAATATTAATTTTAAAAATTCTATTAACTACATAGTTAATAAGTAAATTACTTTCACGGGAATTTTGCTCATGATGTGCCACATACATAACCTGTGTCTACATCCCTAAAACTCTTTTAAAATGGACGTACATAAAGTTGGATCCATATCAGACAAAATCATGGAATGAATTTTTTCATGTGCTTTAAGAAAAGCTCTTAACAACCATGTATATGACTCTATTGTTTCATCCGATAAGAATCCAGCCCCAACAGTGATTGTCTTGTCATGGTTGTTAATGGAAGTGAAAGGAACAAAAATCATATTATACCTGTAATGTATATTATAACATATAAATAATATTTTAATATAAATATAAATATTATATTTAAATGTACCTGTTGGTTCTGTAAGTCGCATCAGTTGCAATCACATCTGAAAACTTAGAGTAATTTTCTTTAGCAGTTTCATTTGCCCAAAAAATAGCATTTAGTACTTTATCATCTAGCTTATATTCAATGTGGAAATTTGGATAATTATCTCTACGAATTTGCAACCGGTCCACAACACATTGAGCATCATTAGGTCCAACTATATTCATATAATCTCTCCAGAAATTTTTGCAATTAATCTTCGATGCAATTATATTATCGTAGCCTCCTTTTAGACTTGCTTGTAACTTGTGTGCTTTTGTAGCTCCAATGTTTAAAGTAGAAGCTTTCAAAATAAGTTATTGATCACAAATTGTCAGCTTATGGCTTTTACTACAAATAGTTTCTTGATCAAAATCATTAAGTGGATGATTATGTACTGCTTGAAATTTGTACACTGTAAAAGTATCACTTTTATGATCTCTGTGAAAACCTATCATAGCCATGCATCCTGTTACCTTATGATAACTTTTTCTTTCTTTCTTTTTCAGACCTCTTGATGTCAATGTATCAATACTTTTTTTCCTTGGTTGACCATACTTGTTGCACCTTATATGTTTTTTTCGCAGAGTATAATCTCCATAATAAGTTGAAGTTCCCATTCTAATTCCAAAGCAACAGCTTTCCCATACTTCCGGTACATTTCAATTGCTTCATTCAATGATGGAAAATAATCTTTTTCCTTACGAATCAATTCCTTTTCAACATTTGGATGATATAAATCGTCTCCATCAGGATAAAGTGGTTTAGTTTATATATGAAATTTGTAGTTATTCTAATAATAATATATTAACTTAATATTAAGGTTGAATACTTGCCTCAATAATTTGTGATTAATGTTTCTGATTGATCACCTGAACAAATATTGTATGATTCTGTTTCATCAATGTTGAAATCAATTGATGATTGTATTTCTTTTCCAACAGTTGGTAGATAAAATAAACTCCATCTCCGTATAAAAATTCTGCGAAAAAAATTATGCAATCTTATTGAAACTTTTTTTTTTGTAACGTATCTGTTATTCTGTATTCATCAATAAATTCTTTAATTGAACATTGAATTAATATAAGTATCCAGTTTTTTTGTAATAAAACACCTTATTAATGTTTGATTTTAATTCAACGAAGATCAATTGAAGTTAAATAACCTACCGTTTTTCAAATCAAATACAAACAGATTGAAAACTTGCCTGCATTATTATCGTTGAATACACTTGCTGATTTTTCAGTTGTTAAGTTTTGATAATTAGTTGTTGTCCATGTAAGAATATCTTCTTGAAAATTCATCTTTTTTCTTTCACTTTCATTGGAGTATTTCGATTCATCAAGATTCGGATAAATTGAATAGGCGAATCATGGAGATGTTGGTTATTAACCGTTAATATGTTTGTAGTTTTCTGATTATGTAGGTATTAGTATGCATACATTGAAAACGTGCATTTCAATAATTTTTACATGACATTTATACCATTTATAATTTATTTTAATGATTTATTATTAATAATAAAGCTTAATGATGTGTCATTTCTGATTGGTTCTCGTATTTTCGCATCTTTTATGTATTTTTGTAATAACCTTCCCATATATATATAGTAACGTCCGTAGATCCGGGCTATTCAATTTAGAGATAATAGGGGTCGAAAATGACTTTTCGACAAAAGATTATTTAGAATAAATAATCTTAACCAAATTGTAGAATATGTCTCAAGGGTTCCGTACATATAAAGAGCGCCGAAATCCGAGTTATAACGAAGAAGTTATGACCCATCGAAGTTTAGCGACAGAACCGGCACGGCACCACGAAAACGTAAATAGTGAATTTATGATAGAGCAACTTTTAGCCTTAGTAATCTAAATGAAAGTCATAGAATATGTTAACGTGAGAACGTCCATAAAAAGAACGCCCAAATCTGACTTCGTATGAGGAAGTTATGATTTTTCGAAGTTTCGGCTTAACGGTATACAACTCGAAGTTCGAGTATTAGATCGAGCGGTTTTTAGCCGACACAACCTAAACGATAATCGTAGATCTCGTTATTAGTAGCGTATCGATAGAAAGACAGACGAAATGGACATTGGATGAAGAAGTTATGAGATTTTAACGGACCAATCCTATCCCGACCTGTTAAAAATATAACTTTAAAAATAAAGTCAAAATTAGCCGACGGAGTCTGAACAAAAGTTGTAGAGCACGTCTCCACCTACGCGTGGATATAAATAAAATCAAAAGCGGAGTTCGTATGAACGAGTTACAAGTTATAATAATATATTTACATATTAAAATAAAGTATAAATCATATATACGTACACATATATATACATATGTATATATCATTAGAAAGGTATCGACAATGCGGTCATTATAAGACTAATGTTGAGTTCTTTCGACATTAGTTTAGTACAAATATCGTTAAATCTATTTAAAATAATATTATAAATGGGTGTTTAGTTGTTTATATAATTATAAGGTCATTAAGTAATTATGGAGGGTAGTTTTTGAAAATTCAATTAGTATAAATAAAGGCCTCTAGCTCTCATATTTCTTGCACCATTCTCTTAATTCTAGAGTCTTTCTCTTCTTATTCCCCTAATATTTCGGTCCTTCGTGATTCGTTTTCTCTTTCTGTAGTTTTAGTATAGTAAGGTGAGCGCTGAAGTGCTGCACGAATCTTTCTTAGAAAGATTCAGTGATGAAGTTCTGCCCCTGCAGAGCCCGACTCCTAGCTAAAATCTCCTTGTAAGTAAGTTATGCTTACCCTATTTTAAATATAGTTTATATTTAAAATTAATATTGTTATTATGAGCTTATAATAAATATTTGAGCTATTATTATGATTTATATAACTGTCGTTATAATATCTTTTTAACTACTCTCGGTACGGGGAATCTGGTTTAAAGGGCCGCATAGGGTTGTTGGTATTCAGAAGTGCTATACGCCAAAATGGTCATGCCCTCCGGTGTTTTATGTCTGACCTAGGAATGGCAATGGGGCGGGGCATGGATTCCCAAACCCGCCCCAATAACTTTCGGGTATCTTATCGGGGCGCCTCATTGGGTTTCGGGTTTCCCAATCGGGTTTCGGGTATCTTATCGGCTTTACAACAACTGATAACGAAATCTTTATTCTCTTTTAGGGT